CAACCCCTTCATGGAGATTAACCTTTAGCACCAGAGACTATCTGTGGTATTATACTAAGCTATGTCAAAAGACATTTAAGACAGCTGTTGGTGATAAAACCAAACTCTACTGGAAGCACACTAGAAAATAAACAAGCCCTAAATTGTTCCTAGAAGGATTCTATCCAAAGTGTAGAGCATCACTCCTTTTGATGGACAGCAACACCATTAAGTACGACAGGACTCTCCACTCAATAAGCAACTCTTTAATCTGGGCTTAACTGAGGCATCTACCTGCAGGCTTTGTAGCCTAGAGGATGAAACCACCTACCACATTGTATGTTAATGCAATGATTTGGCTAGATTTGTGCTATTTCCATTTTGGAAGAGATTGTATCACTGATCCCAAGCTCTGCAAATTGATCAATCCCACCAGCCTATATAAGTTTGCAAAGGCAGTTGGAGTATTTTAAAAGAGAATAGGATGGCGTACAATAGGCCTCAGTGAGGCCATGGTGCATTTTTGTTGGAAGAGCGGAGGGGAGAAAAAGGCAAGTAGTTATTTACTTTTTTTTTAGAAAATTAAACTTTATTCTGGGACTAAGTCCCCTTAGAATAACAATGATGAATTAATACAAAGTAAAATACAAATCTGGCCAAAAACTAACTTATAAAAATTTTAATATTATATACATTATTTAAAAAGTATGTAACCACTAAATATATATATATATATATATATATATATATATATATATAAATGAACATAAAATCTCCTCAAAATTACTTATTATTGTGATGAAAAAAAAGAAAAGAAATAACATATTTATATATACATAATTACACAATTTATAAACAATAGGCTATCTAATAGAAAACTAACTTAATACAAAATGTAATAATATCTACTGTGATTTATATAATAATATGCAGACACTAAGATAAAATAAAATCTTAGGATTACTTGTGGTGCAATGGAAAAAAAAAAAATAATAAACCAAAAAAAAAGGAACTATTTATACGTACATTCTCATATGGGCACACGGAAAGAAAATAGTATAAAATATAAACATATATACCCAAAAGAAAAAGCCCAACCTGAGGAGAAGAGAAAAACAAATAAATAGTAAAAATAATAGTCAAACTAAGTGACAAAGATCATTGTTGTTTTTGTTAAAACTTAAACAGTAGGCACCACCATTTACTTCACGCAAATTCAGTTCATAAAATAAAATTTATGGTTGTAAATCTTCTGTTTGGGATGTAAGGAGATATTAGAAAAGGAGGTATTTGAAAGTTGACAGGGAAGAGGCATGACGGATGTTATGTGGCAAAGAATTCCAGTAGGAGACGGAGCGGGCTAAGAAGGTACGTTCATAGATTTTTGTCTTGTGGAATGGAATATAGAGGTCAGAAGCACGGGATCTCATTTTTATTGAATGAACTAAGGGTTTAGGCTGGAGGAGACAACAGATATAGGAAGGGTGCTAGGAGTTGATCGTTTGGTATAAGAAATTTCCAAGGAAGTATAGGCGGCGGGAAGAGGGGAAGAGCCACTTTGACTCGGCATATAGGTGGGACACATGAGACCATCTCAAAGTGCAGAAGACGAATCTTAAAAAAAGTTCATGATTCTCTTCAGTCTGTCCTCAAGCTCCAACGAGAGGCCACCGTATACCACACAGCTATAGTCAAAGTAGGGGAAAATCAATGAGGAAATGAGGAGCTTGAGGAGAGGTTGTGGGAGATGCTGACGAGAACAATGAAATAATTTAAGTAATGATGAAATAATTTAAGTGTACCAATTGACCTTCTGGAGATTTGAGCAATATGGGGTTTCCATGATAGGTTTTGATCAATGGTAATTCCTAAGTTTTTTACACAGTTTTCGTTGTGTTTAACTTTAATTTATTCAAGCTTGCCAAGGCACAGATCCTATCTAGGTCTTTCTGAATATTCGTAAACGCTTCTAATAATTCAGTGGGCGGAAAGGAAAAATAAATTTGGGAGTCATCAGCATATAGATGGTATGAACAATGGTGGATTGAACTAGGAAGGTCATTGATGTAAGAATTAAAAAGGATAGGAGAAATGCTTGAACCCTGGGCTACTCCATGAGACAAAGTGAGGAAAAAAGAAAAGGGTTGATTCGGAATACTAAAGGCTTGAGTCCTGTCAGAAAGAAAGGATTGGAACCATAGGACAGAACTATTGGAAAAGGATAGATTTTAATTTAGTGAAGAGGATAGAATGGTCTAAGGAATCGAATGCTTTGGAGAAGTCCAAGAGTACTAATACAGTCAGTTTTCTTTCTTCAATTGCAGTATGTATGTCATTTGTGATTTTAACTAAAGTGGATTGAGTGGAGAAGCCCGGGCGAAAGCCAGATTGGAGAGGATCTAAAAGTTTGAACTCTTCAAGAAAATTGGAAATTTGGGATTGGACTATTCTTTCGAGCGGTTTTGACAGATTTGAGAGGATGGAAATTGGACGATAGTCTTTAGGAGAGGTGGGGTTAGGAATTTTGTTAATAGGATGGACTAAGGCTTTTTTCCAAGATGTAGGAAAAACAGAATTTTGAAGGGAAAAGTTATAAATGAATAGAAGAACTGGAAGGATTTCAGGGAGGCATAATTTTAACAGTTTGACAGGTATTCCGTCAATTCCTGTAGAGTTGGATTGAGATTTCATTATGGAGGAAATAAGGGTCGTAGGAGTGATGTAGGAAAAATAAAAATTGTCACTATTAAATGCAGATGGTACAGGAATATAGGAAGAGGCGGGAGAAATATTACTAGAGGAGGAGAATAAAAAGTAGGAATTTAAAGCATCAGGAGAGACTGGAACAGCTATGGAAGAAGATGATTTGCAAAGAGATAGCTTTCGGAGAAAATGCCATTTGGATTTAGAATCAAGAGCTGAGGAGAAGGCTTCATGAAAGTAATTGGTTTTCGCTTGCCTGATCGTTGTTTGCGTCAAGTTACGGAGTACCCTGAACGCTTCATAGTCATCTGCAAGCCTGGTTCTTCTAAAGCGTCTACGGGCTGCCTCACGTCTCTTTTGCATATTTCGAATTTCTTGACGCATCCAAGGAGCAGGTTGGCGGCGCAATGTAGAGGTTTTAAGTGGCGCAAGGGTATTAAGGATATGGAGGAGATTACAAGTCAGGATATCTACCATGGTATCAATTGAGGAGCTGGGGTTTCAATTCAATATCGGGTAAGATGCTTTCACGGGTTAGGGAATTTATATTGTGGAAGGTTATAGTTTTAGGAAGGATCGCAGGGGTCTGGATATTGTATGATAGTAGGATGAGGTCATGTAAAGAGAGGAAAGGAACAGGTTGTTGGGACGAGGACAAAAGGTTCTGCGCAGAATTGATGATAAACAGGTCCAGCCATGTATCAGACCAGCAAGTGTGATGAGTAGGAGCAAATGGTACTATAAAGAGGTTAAGGGAGTAGAAAAGGTTTTCCAGGTAGTGTTTATCGTAGGAATCGGAAAGGAGATTGGTGTTAAAGTCACCGGAAACTATTATGTTACTTTAAAATGGGATAAATTTGTATAGGGTTGATTCAAAGGATGGGTCAAAAGGTACCAGAGGAGGGCGATATACTACAACGCATAGGAAAAGATGGGCTTTAAAGGAAATTTCAACAAAAACGTATTCCATGTAGGGACATTTGGAAGGAGGTGAGATATCTAGGATTCGGGATTTTAGGCTATTATAGACGTAAAGACCCACACCACCACCCGTTCATGTAATCTGGTCGTGGCGGATAAAGGTATGATCGGGTAAGGAAACGGAAGAGGAAGGTATGTGGGGTTTTAGCCATGTTTCGGAAACTGCAATACTATGGTAAAAATTACAGGTAAAATATTGTTGAAATTCGTCGAAACAAGCTGCTAAGGATTGGGAATTAACATGACAAGAGGTCAGGACAGTAGACATGTTGAAGAGGAAGAAGAGAAATATGATGAAAGGCAGCTGAAATATAATGAATAACATTTAAAAAGAAGCAAGTAATGGTTAAATACAAATAATAATAATAATATGCAGCAATGATAAAAAAGACTTAACATGATAAAATAAAAGATTACATCAGTTGTGCTAGAGAAAAAATAATGGTAAAACAGTAACATAATACGTTCATAATAAGTTATTAGCATGATTATGAATGTGAAAAGTCTATATTCATAGAATCGGTAAAAAATAAGTTAAAGTTTAAAGGAAGAGAGAGTCAACAATTTCACCATCAGGTCACACCTCAAGGTACAGCTCAATATTACAGCTTAACAATAATACAGATTACAGCTTGTAGAACTGAGAAGGACTTGTAGAACTCAGGATAAAACAGGAAAAATCGAGAGAATGATAATTGATCAGAGACAATTAATATGAGAAATTGAGCACAAGCACACAATGAATTTTATAGAGATGTAGCAATAGTTACTAAAACACTTCATATACAGTTACAAAATTATTGATTAGGTAAAAATTAAAAAAAAAAAGAACCTATCTCATTTAACCTGCCATCTTACATGAAAAATAGAAACTCTAGCAATGATACTTACACTAAAAATATCTTTGATTGTAATTAAAACGAATATTGAGTGGTATTTATATTGGTCGAAATGTAACACATACAGAGATCATACCATTCCATTTATTCTCAGACATGCTTGGTTATTTTTGACATCTAAAGTGTGATCTTATGCTGCCATACTGCAGGATAATTTCTAAACTGGTACCGAAAAGAAATTCATTATTATCCTTAAAAAGATTGGGGAAGGTTAGAAATTTAACTCAGTTTTATCTTTAAAATATATCCATGGTTGGGTGATAATATAGGAATATAAAGAAACATTACATAAAAATGTAGTAATAATAATGATAAATAGAACAGAAACTGAAAACAGTAATGCATAGGAAGAAAACTCATTCAATGTTCAAATTACTATTTCATTCGTACTCCAAGAAAAAAGTCAAGAATAATTTATGTAAATTAAAATAAATTTACCAAAGGTATGTGATTGTATTTTTTCATGCTGCTACTTCCTGCATCCCAACACTGTAATTTAAATAATATAATCTTGTCCCAAACTTTAACTGGCCAATAAACGTCTGTAACACGTATTCCAGATGTTTCAAAATATGAAGAATAGGCAGAAATGCCTGCTACTTTGTTAATAGTTGAAGTTTTTCCAACCCCTGTTTTACCTACAAAAACTAACTTATAGCATACTTCTTCAAGATTTGAGCTCTGGAACGGTTTCTCCAAAATCCCTGATACAAACAAAATTATATAAAACCACAATTAACATGTAAAATATGATTGCTACAAGAAAATATGATAAAATGATAACCAAATAATTTTCTTCCAGAAGTTCTCCCATTGTACAAATGTTGTAAGAATGTTTCTCCTTCTGCGGTATGATGCCATTCAAATGATGGTAAAAAATGGTCCATATTCCATCGGTTGTCATTTAAATTCAAAACATATTCTTTCACCAAAACAAAACCAAAGAGACCCGATAGGATTGCCATAGAAGTAGAAAGGAACTCCAAATCATGTTTTAGGTCTTATATAGAATCAGTATACTAGTTACTTTTCAGTTACTGCACAGATCGTTACTAATTATTAATATAAGATTCAGTATATATTTAAACATAACTATGTTTAATGAGGGATGTGGAGAGGGACCAAGGTCCCCATTAAATATGAAATTAACCACCAAGAGCCAATCCGGTCCTTTAGAAAGTAAACATTTTAAAATGTACTTGGAGTACTTAGGATCAATAACCTATTGACTAATAATACATTTTCTTTTAGAGTAAATTACAGTTAAAAACTATATTACGTCGCACAGTTGGCCGCCCCTGTCTATCTAGCGGGACTAAAGTCAAAATATCGACAGTGAATTTTTTAATGGGAAATGGCATTAAACGTTTGTTACATCGGTGCATGCATTATACATCGGTGCAGAGGTGTCCGTCACAACCGAGGTCGATGGCGCAAGAACCTACCATCTTCCCTATCTCTTCCCAAGATATTTTATTTCTTACCTTTTCCTAAAAACAACTAAGGTAGAATTAGAACAATCGTAGAACATATACGAGTACACTTACTGCAGTATGTTCCAAGTTTTGCTCCTTGTCCTATTTTGCTTTGCCCCCTCCCCTCAAAAATTTAAAAATACATCAAAATATGTTTCCCTCAAAAATTTTGATGGAGCAACTTGCTCCATGATAACCCCTTCTGGCCACCCTTGCATTGGTGTAATTAGACAGAAGAATTACTAAACCAAAATTCAAATAATATAGGTAAAACTGACGGCAAACATCTAAAACTGAGAGCCAGTTTAAATAATAACGGGTACTGCTTTCATTGTCAGAGTGAGCAATTAATTTAATTGCTATTTCACAGTCACATATATATATATATATATATATATAAGTTAAGCGTCGGCGGACTTCAAAAATAAAAAAAAAGAAGGAAAAAGGATCGGGAAACAACACTCACGGCTTCTGAATAAACACTGCTTTATTCGTTCAATAATCTGCCTTATATACAGTTGTCATGTTTATTTACCATTACAGGATGGTATTAAGGCTGATATCGCCAGTCTCCGGTCTTTATCTTATATATATATATATATATATATATATATATATATATATATATATTATATATATATATATATATATATATATATATATATATATATATATATATATATGCGACTGTGAAATAGAACGATAAAAAAAAAGGAGAAAAGGTTGATAAATGACTCACACGGCTTCAGAAACAATACTGCTTTATTTGTGAAGTAATCCTTCTTATATACATTTCAGAGCTATGTTTACATACCAGGATGGTATTAAGGCTGATACTGTCCGACTCCTGTCCTTATCTCCCCCCACCAGTTTACGAAAAGCGTTTCGAAAACTTTTAATTCTCGAGCGAAGCCATTTGTATCAGCCTTACCACCTCGTTTTCTGTACACTTAATACAAAAATAATAAAAAAGAATATAGTAATAAAACAAACTCAGGAGTCCTCCTGCATTATGTTTACAACAGAGACATTACTTTATGAGTAAAACAAATATACTTCTATTCACTTAAAACTACAGAACAAAATATACAACAGCACAAAAACAGGATTTAAAAAAAACATACAATAGAACCAAAACAGAACATTTTCCTATATACAAACTATTTTCACATCCAATAACAAAAAAATATATTTCCTGTGTGGAGAAAAGAGGGCACCACAGTTCATCTATTCTTTTTCTGCCCCTACAAACGGAAGTTTCAATTGTTCGATATGAACTGTGCGTCTCTTTTTGGGCTCCTTCATACTCTCTATGGTTATTAAATTATGTTCCCTGATGGCAACCACCCTGAATGGGCACTCGTATCGCGTCAATTCTTTCCCTCGATTTGTCCCCCTTCTCCGGTACACGGTAGTTCTGATTTTCAAATCTCCCATTTGATCGCGTAGTCTTAAATTCTCTCTACCTACCCTCTTCCTCTTTTCCCTCTCTATTTTTCGTCGTACTGTATCCCACGTCCTCCTTAATTCAACCCTATTACTCCTTACTTGTTCGGCCACCTGGTCGTTAGTCGCCGTTTCCTCGCAATCTCGTCTTCTTCCCCGTATGGGTGAGAACCCAGTGACAGAATGAATTGAGTGGTTATACGCTAATGTCAGGCTCCAATCCTTTTTCTCCCTGATATGACACGCGTATATGGTCGCTCAGGGTACTATGCAGCCGCTCGATGCTACATCTGCTTTTGGGGTGTCCTGGTGTATTAAAGTGCCAGTTTATCTCCAATCGTTTCGCCTTTTCCCTCAAATTCCCTTCCTCCATCAGAAGAGATTCTCTCATGTACCCCGTAAAATTGCATCCATGTTTGAACATCTTCTAAAACTGCATCGGACGATTTCTCCAATATCTGGTACGGCATAGCAAGTTTGCTAAAGATATCGATTATGGTGACCCACTTATACCCTCTCCATGTGTAGGTGTCGATCTGGAGATCTTGTAATGGTGCGTCTCCCGTGGGTGTCTCTTCTTGTCTTCCCTGAGGGGGGTGTCTGTCGTATTTCGTGCGCATACACACCTCACACGTCTTTCTCATTCCCCACCAAAAGTACTTTCTGCGTAGTGCCTGTAAGGTCTCCTTCACTCCCCGATGGTTCGTTTTCCCCTGGTGATACGCAAGTGCCACTTCCTTTTGTCGTTCCTCGTCCGTTATTGTCTCTGCCATATATTTGCATCGGACAAACATTCTGTCTATTACGATTTTCTCGGACCTCCAAATCCTCTTAATTTTTTTCCCATATTGTAGCGTTCCCTACGTAGAGATGATTCGTCCTCCCTGGTTCCGATGCATCCTTAAGCGCTCTGCAGATATAATCTTCACACACCCCTGGTTGCGACCAGATTGTGTGAACTTTGCTTCTACCGTAGCTGCTATAGTCTATTTTCATCGTACCCGCTGTCCTAGTCTTCCAGATGACCTGGTGACGCTTGTCATTGATGATCTCGTCGATTTCTTCCATCTCTGATGGCCTATTCTCCGTCGAGCTCTCATCTTCTGGAGACTCCTCTCCCTGCCCTACGTTTCTCGCACCTTCCTCTCCTTCTCTTTCCCGGGGCCATTCACTTAAGAATTGTCGAACATCACGTGATGGTCCATCACAGTCCTCCTCGACTGCATTAACCATTATGGCTCTCGATAGCCAATCTGCCACTACATTTTCCCTTCCTGGCTTATAAATTATTTCAATATTATATTGGCCGAGAAATTCCTTCCATCGCGCGACCCTTGCGGAGGATTTTTTTAATTTCCCTACCCATTGAAGGGGCCTGTGATCGGTGTGGACCCGGAACTTTCTTCCAAAAACGTTAGGTCGAAAATGATCGATAGCCCACACTATCGCGAGCAACTCCCTCTCCAAAGCGCTATATCTAGTCTCAGCATTTTTAAGACGTCTACTCGTGTATGCTACGGGCCGCTCTCCTCCTACTCCATCCTGCGACAGTACTGCCCCTAGCGCATATTCGCTGGCATCCGTGGTAACCGTGAACTGCTTACTGAAGTCCGGAAACGCTAGTGCCGGTTCTGTTTGTAAACGGTCCATGCACTTCCTGATGTTCTGTTCCATTACTGGTGTTACGATTATCTTAGCTCCCTTTTTCAGTAGATTATTGATCGGGATCAGATACTCTGCCATTTCCGGCACGAACCTCCTATAATATAGAAGCCTCCTGATTCCTTTAACATCTCGTGGGACCGCCATTCGCCTAATAGCCTCTATTTTCTCCGCGTCCGGCCTAACCCCGTCCTTCGAAATTCTGTGGCCTAAAAAATTAATCCGCTCTTGTCCTAGTAATGATTTTTCTCTGGATAATTTTAGTCCAAAACGGCGAAACCTCTCGAATACGTTTCGCAGGTGTTCTACGTGATCCACTTCCGTCTTGCTAAAGACCAGCAAATCGTCCATGTAGACCTGGCATACGGTTTCATCCAAGCCAATCAAGAATTCATCCATTAAGTGCTGAAAGGTTATCGGAGCATTCTTTAGTCCGAACGGCATCTGGGTGAACTCATAATGCCCCCTTTCGAATGTAAATGCTGTTTTATGTTGGTCCTTCGGGTGCATTTTTATTTAGTGATACCCTGCTTTGAGGTCCAGCGTACTAAATATTACCGCCCCACTCAGCCTGTCTAATATGTCTTCGAATCTCGGGATCGGATACTTTTCGTCTATCGTGTTCTCCTTCAGCTTCCGATAATCTATTACCACTCGGTACTTCTCTTCTGTCTCGCCCGGTGCTCCCATCTTTCTCACCGCCCACAACGGACTGTTGTATGGAGAGGTGCTATTGACTATTATACCCTGCTTTTTTAGACTCTCCAATTCTTCCCGGATATGCTGTCTAAGTGCTTGTGGATATCGCCACTCCTTTACGTACGACTCTTGCTCCTGTTTTAGTGGTATTTCGTGGACTGTCCTCCCCGTTACGCCTAGTATCTCTCCCTCCTTGAAGAAGATATCCTTGAATCCTGATTTTATGGACTTCCTGCAGTCCTCGACTATATTTACCGCTCCTATCCGCGGTTTCGTACCCTTTATGCTCTCCTTACTTCTGTACCTCTGTCCTCCTAACTTTATTCTCCAAGTCCCATTCCTAATCTCGACTCTAATCCCTACTTGTCCGAATAGGTCACACCCTATTATCGCCTGGTATTCCCGAGTTATGTTCCCAACAATGCGTATTTTCAAATTCCCCTACTTACCTGCCAAATGGTTTAGCGCAACGACCGCTTCTCCTTCCTCGTTACACGCCCCTTCCAGGGTAATTAATTTACAATCGCATCCCTGAATCCGGGGTGCGCTCTCACTACCACACAGCCTCTCTAGTGCCCCACGGGTCATAATAGTGCTAGCGCTTCCCGTGTCTACTAAGCACCTCACTCCCCCTCTCATTGTGATGATTGGCAACCAGCAAGCCTTACCTCTTATATTATTAC